CTACTACTACTACTACTACTACTACTACTACTACTACTACTACTACTACTACTTGTATTCTTATAGTGAAAATCCATTCAAGCTTTGAAAGTCACCAAACTTTGGTGGCCATTTTCTCGCTAATGTTACCTGTGACACCAGGCGAGTCCAGTGTCCTTCAACTACAATATCTAGACTTCTTTTCTAGATAGGTGGATAGTTTTTGTTTTACAAAAAGAAAGGCAAATAACAGGCTTCATGGTAATACCAATAACTCTATATTCCCAAAAATTGACGAGCGTGTGATTTTACCGCACCGTGACACATTTGATGAAAAAGGAAAGGCGCTGATGCCCCTGAAATGTTTCCGCATCAAGCGTCTTTTTTTTTTAAAGTATGTGTTTTACGGCGCTCGCAACTGCATAAGGTCATATGAGCTTCATTTTGGTAGGAAATTTTGAATTTTGCCCGGATGGCGGCCGAAGCGTACTCTTTTCGATGTTGGACGACCTAGGGATTTTTAATGTGCGCAATTTGCAAACAAGGCCTCCCAGATTTTTCACCCTTATCTGAGAAGCCTGGGTGTTAGATTTTACCTAACTTAATATCAGGGGTATGGCTGAAAGACAAAAGTAATTAGCCAAGTACTTACCTTCTTACTTACTACCCGCTACGCCATCTGGCGTTTAGGGCAGCAACAAAGGATCTCCAGCTCTGTCTGTTTTTGGGTCATCTTAGTCAACGTACCCCACGAATGGTTCCAAGACTTCATTTCAGACATTAGCCCAGTAGTAACAATAAAAAGACGGCAGAAAGAGCCAGGGACATAAAGATGGGGCAAAAAAAAAGGGGGGGGGGGCAGAAAATGGAGACGAAGACAAAAAATAGAACATCGTTAGAGAGTAAGAAAGGAGGTGAAAGAAGGCATTTTAGAGAAGAAAATTTTCCGTCGCCCTCAGCATTCGAACCCGGGACATATTGAATAAGAGGCAAATACCCAAAGACCACGAGAAGCCCTTACAGAACGTCTTTCGTCCACAAGCCACTGAGGAAATGAAACACACTCTGGAAAATAACGACAGCAATACTACCCTTCTGAAGGGGGTAGTTGATGCTACACTCAAGACACAGTCCACCTGCCCCAAATATTTTATATAGTCGAACCTGCTCGAACGACCACCTGTATAACATAATCACCTGTATACAAATAATGGCCACTTCCAACTTCTTCTCTTGCGTTTTTTAAAATTACATTAAAATAACGCTGTGTAAGACGGCCACCTGTCTAAGACAGCCACACGCTCCTCCTCGACAATAGGTGGCTGTCTGAGACAGTTTCAGCTGTATTTAGATAAAGCCTTAAAATATGTCCTAATGTTCGCTTCCTGGAAAGCCACAAATCACCAATAACTGTTTGCTCATGCTGCATTTTATTATCTGGCTAAACGTTCCATTCTATCTTAGAATCTCCGAAAAAATAGCACTAGCAGATTTGCGTTGAAGTCAGATAAAACCAGGACGGTTCGTCAACACTTAAGCAATTTTGTCTATTTTCAAAAGCATCGGTACTGTCAATGTCCGAAATGCCTGTCAGCACTTTGTACACATCTTTCTTTTGAATCTAGAATCTTTATCGTTAAAAAGTTGCCGTTCCAACGAATATGATGATGACGATGATGGTGTCGACTGGTTCTGCTCTTGCTGTTGCTGTTTTGTAGTCGTTGATGTAATCGTTATTGTTGTTGTTCTTTTTGATATTAATGTGATTGTTGTTGTTAAATTGAGGTTGTTTTTATTGTTGTTGTTATTGTCGTTGTTATTTTTGTTATTGTTGTTGCTGTTATTGTTATTATTGTTATTGTTGCTGTTGTTATCGTTATTGCCGCTGATACTGCTTCTGTTGCTGCTGCTGCTGCTGCTGCTGCTGCTGCTGTTGCTGCTATTGATGGTGGTGGTGATATTGAGTATTCGTTGAATAATTACTAAAACCACGCAGTCTTGCAATTACTATCGGTGCTACTCTGTTGTAAATAATAAACTTTCATACACTTATGCAAGAACGCCCATACCCATCGAATTTCTCTTTTACTTTGCATGATTTTCAGTTTGACGAACCAGCCATTGCTTTCAGTGCTCAGAATTGTTTTCTAGAACACTATTTATGTGCCTTGATCCAGTGGAACCCGGCACTCGTCAATGTTTTGGGCATATAATGGAGTTATTTATATCATCAGCAAAGAGTAATTCATTTAGGGCGCCTGGTTCTGTGTTGGCCTCTTTTGTAATTCTATCCATATATATGATAAATAGTAGTGGTAATAGGACAAAACCTTGTCTTACTCCAGATGTTATCTTGAACCATTCTGTGAGTCCCTCCGACGTTCTTACTGTACTTATCTGGAGTAAGACTGCGTGGCGACCAAAGCCTACTCTTGTCGATTTTAGGACCCCCACGGGATCTTCAACGTGCGCAACTTGCACACAGGACCTCCAAGATTGTTCGTCCTTATCCGAGAAGGCTAGGTGTTAGATCTTATCTACCCTAAGATCAGGGGTGTGGCCGAAAGACTGCAGTGAGAAGGAGTCAAGGAGTAGAAGTAGAAAGGTTGCAGAAAGATTCAGGAACTGAGAGGAGAGGGAAAGGGGAGGGGAGGGAGAGGGGACAGAAAGTGGAGACGAAAGCAGACGACAGAACATTGTTAGAGAGCAGGAAAGGAGGTGAAAGTAGAACATTTTAGAGAAGAAAATTTCCTTTACTATCAAGTTTCGAACCCAGAAGCTATTGATTAAGAGGTGAGAACCATAACCTCACGACCACGAGCGTCCCCTTACTGTAGTTTGTTACCGAAACCTTCACATAACAGACACACAAGGAAATCTTACTACGACACAAAAAGAGCAAACGAAAAGTGTTAATAATCTACTTCTATTTTATTCATGCATTTGTTTTATGTCTTTAAAATGATAGCTAAATCCTGTTCATCATATCAGGTCCAAAGAAGTCGTGTCCGGTCAATGTGGGAAGGTAATCGACGATGGGCAGCGCTTAGTTGCAGCCACTGAGGTCGACGACAGAAAAGTCAATGTGGGAAGCGGCGCTGACGTTCATGTACACACCTGTTTCAGCCTTTGGCGCGGCGGGGCCACTGTACCTGGAGTTGATTGGCAGGCATCCATCGGTCACAGCCATGGAGATAATGTGGGGGCCAACCTGTAGAGATAAGACCAGCAGAAAAAGATAAGTAAGAGTTTCCAGTACCAGGTCAAATTGTAAAATGGTGAAATGGTAGTGGTTTAACATCCTTTTCAACGCTATTAGATTATTTAAGAGGCAAGACCTCCGAGTTTAACGTCCATCTCCGAACGGACCGAGCCAAATGAGAAATTCGTGTTAAGTGTCTCTCCCAAGGACACAACACCGGACCGAGCCGACGCTCGAACCCCTGAACTAGCAGTCTCACGATTACGGGTCTGGTAGCCTAACCACGAGGTCACCGATGCCACCGTAACAGGTCAACTGATCAATGTCCTTGGTCTCACATTTTTCAAAAACTGACGATCCACAATAGTTGTGCTTATCAACCTTATTAGGATCACTGGAGTAATTTCCATGACCACAATAAGGCAAGAGAGGCATATACGTTTGGAGACGTGTAAGGATGTTATGGAGTGTGGCCAGTGGACAGCAACTAGTCCCTAAGTATAGTTATGAGAGAGCTAAATAGTATCTATAGCCATAGTTCAGGATTCTGTTCCATTTCAGACGGCTTACTTTTGTCATCTGTGCAAATGGGGCACATTTTTTTAAATTCACGTCTCAAGACCTACTTATCCTTTAGTTTAAGTTTTCGAACCCAGGTAAAGATTTATGAAATGTGAAGCAAAGTAGGCTAAAAGGGCAATGAACTTTACATCTTACTAGGAAAAAGCTGTGGTACAAATCAAAAGCAAACTTTAAGACTTTGATTTGCATGTATGGGATTTTTCTCCTGAAACCATTCTATTTGACAAGTGGGGCTAAAAACAGCCACCCCCCCCCCCTAGTGATTTACACCGAGGTATTTACAAAGAATACCTTCACTCTTTCCCAAACGTAAAGGGCAAATTACGTTTGCCATTTTAGGGAAAATTAGAAAATTAGGAAACACATAGTAATGCGAATAAACTGATAGATCTACTTACGGAATATCTGTAAGCCTTGTAGAAGATTCCTCCGTTCTTAGGTCCGAAGTTAGCCTCGGCCACGACTTGAGCCCGCTTGGGGATACATTGCTGGAATGCCTCAGGGTAGTACATGGGAGTCTCGCTGGAAGAGCGGAGGTGGTATAAGACGGTGAGAAAAACTAGAGATGTAGTTAATTAAGCGGTGGAAGAAGGATATACAGAGAGAGAGAGAGAGAGAGAGAGAGAGAGAGAGAGAGAGAGAGAGAGAGAGAGAGAGAG